GCGTCTATGTTTGCGTGAATCATTCGTGATCCAGCTTCACCTACAGAAGAAGTGAGTATAAGGTTTTTTAGTGAATCTTTGCAAATCGCCTTTCCTAATAATGTGCTGATTAGCAAGTTTCACGATGAATGCGGCTAAAGTAAACAGTCCCTCAGAGAGCGGCTCGGAAGAGAGGGGCGGGGTCAGCAGAGCTCATTAACATTTAAAGGAAAGTGCTACAAAACGGCTTGATCTGAAAAGAGCTGTTTTTGACAGGGTAAAAAAGGTGTTTTTTACACTACCATTGAGAAATTTTAACCAAACTGTGTTACAGATTTTTCATTAAGACACTAAATAATCATATCAACTTGTGGAAAATGGGCATCCGATGACCCCTTAAAAATCCCACAACTTTGAAATTACTTTGACAAGCAGTCAGCTTCGGTCTCATTTAATGAACAGAACTGTCTAAAGATGTAACAAATACGTTTCCCTGTAATGTCAAGTCCTACACATGGTTATGATCATTTTCAACATCAGCTTTAGGACAAAACAGTACAGATGTATAAATATAATCGCACCCTTCAGTCATGCATGAAAACACTTCAAACTATACAAAAAAACCCTTCAAATGATATTTGAGAAATAAATAAGTTACTAATAGAATAATTACCGACCTATAATTCTGCATAACACAAACACATCTGAGACTGTTCACTTGAGTAAACACTTAAACACAGATAATGAAGATCTGACATTATTGGCAGTATCTTCAGATTTCAGAGCACAGCATACCATTTGAAGCAGATAATTACTATAATTCTTACACGATTATGTCCAACTAATATAGTGAAAATACACTTTTGAGGTAAAGTGAATGTATATCCTATTCAACCCACAGAAACAAATGACACGTCAGCATCAGTCCTTATAAATGTGTTTCCCTTCATGTTACTTTGGCTTCCAAAAGGTTACTAATAGAAAGTAACTAATGCAAATATAACGAAATGCTCATAGTGCACTACCAGCATTAAAAAGTACTCTACAAGAAAAACTAAAGGTGTAACATTTCAAAATGTCAGAAGTGTCGGTGTGTAATGGCATTCGACAGATCCTTGGACTTCACTGTCTTCTTATGATTGCATTAAAAATATAAAGAACAGCATTCTTCCCTGGAGTTTTAGATTAAAATGCACTTTGGGTTTTGGCAGCAAGGCAAGACAGACAGGAAGTGTACGTCGAGAGAGAAAGATGGGGAAGGGAAAACAAAAGAGATGCAGTGTGGAAGATAAAAAAGGAGAAGAAATGAATTGTCACAGATAGAGGAGAGAGAATGTTGGAGAATTTCTTCAACCAGTTCGGGCCACCTAAAGAGGAAGAGACATTCTGCCAGTTATATCAATTATGCATGTGAGAATATGCACATACTACATGATGAACAAAAATTCATGATCATGTGAAGACAACATTTTCTGTATTCACTTGAAATACAAAAATAATACCGTTTGAAATACAGTTTTTTACCTGGGAAATGCTGACCCCAGTTAGTTTCTCAATGGTTTCGGGCAGTTTGGTCATGATGTCAAGCACTTCACCTGTCAGCTTGGCTGCACCGATCTCTGAACCTCCACTGGAAACCATGGTGACCTTATTGGTAGCTGACAGGGGCTTACTGATCTCCTCTGCCATCTAATGGATAGAAAGAAC